TAATTTATCTCTTTTTATATCGTAGCTTTAGGTATTATTAGCCCTCCTGATATAATGATACACAATGCATCAGGACCCTCCAGTGAACAACAACAAACGTTCTTGCGTTTACTCACTTCTAATCATCATCAGGAGTGGACTAATAGAGTCTATTATTATTATTATTACACACGCCTGATATCATCACTGGCAGCTACTATATATATATATATATATATACTATAGCTCAGGATTAGATAATAGAGAAAAAAAGAAAAATATATATCTTCTATTATCTACTCCTGATATAGTCAATAGATGCGTGTGTGCTGTAGCTGCAGGTGCGGACTTGTTCTTGCTGCCAGTGGATATAATGTTCACTTCTGATATGATGCACTGCTAATCAGCAGCAGCACCGCAATAACACACGCCATCATTAATCGCAGTGAACTATAGAACGACTAGTACTCTCACGAAACTCACTCACGTTTACGTACGGGGCTAAACGCCTCCACACACACACGCTGGACGTCGAGACAGAGTTAGCACAGTTACTACCACAGTCGCTCAACGATCTATCTTCCAGCGTTGTTGCACTATCGACCGCAGCGGAAACGCAGACCCAGCTATCAGCAGGGTGTGCCCTACGCGCACACATACGAGTCCCCCCCCCCAGATCTACACACGCTCACATACATGATACAGCAGGAGAGCACCTGGGAACGCTTGCAAACATAAAATGCCCGGGGCGGCCTCGCTCCCCAGTGGCGGTTGGCTAATCAAACATGGGCGTACACTACACCAGGCTGATTAAAAACACCGCAGACGTGGTTTGTCATAACCGGGGGTGAAATTCATGCAGCCTCTCGAATACTTAGTCAGTAGCCCGATGAGATGATTGATAAGTCGTTTATTGTTCGAGCTTGCGGAGGCGTGTTGTGCGCGTGCGTGAGTGCGTACATGCGTGCGTGGGTGCGTACATGCGTGCGTGGGTGCGTACATGCGTGGGTGCGTGCGTGCGTGCGTGTGTGCGTGAGTGAGTGTGTGCGTGCGTGGGTGCGTTGGTGCGTATATACATGGGTGCGTAATTGGTGCGTACATACCTGGGTGCGTGCGTGCGTACATGCGTGGGTGCGTGCGTGTGTGCGTGAGTGAGTGTGTGCGTGCGTGCATGCGTTGGTGCGTACATACATGGGTGCGTGCGTGCGTGCGTGCGTGCGTACATGCATCGTCTGTGTGGAGACCCTGACACACTGTGAGCAGAGCATACGCGGTATTATCGCGCTCTGGGAATTATCTGGATGAAAGTAACCGACTCTATGTGCACCCACTACAGCAACTGAGCTATGTTATCAGATATAGATATCAATATATAATAAAAGATATCAATATATAGATTATACACTCCCGATGTTATCATAGCAACCGAGATAACATATATGAGTACGCGCACGCACGCACGCACACACACGCATGTACGCACCCACGATTGGTCTGTCGCACTGACTGAAAAACATAGAGATCTATATCTATATAATATATATACAGTATAGTACCTACTGTCCTAGATAAAAGATTATATTTGACAACGTGCTCTATGCTAATCAGAACAAAAGCAGTGAATAATTTAGGGGTAGAAATGAAATTTTGGGAGTCCAACAGGCTTCATACATGTAGGCTGCAGTTTGATGAGCGAAAACATGATTTTTGCAATGAAATACTTTCAGAACTGTTATTGCTGAAAAGTGTGGTGTTAATTTTGTAGGTAAATCCTAGCCTATTATACGTAATACTAGTGGTGCATAACTTGTGCTTCCTGGTTTTGTAAAATATCTAAATACACACAATGAATTAGGGGTAAATGCTGCGTGTAGGTAATTAATTTTAGATATGAAATAAAGTGCAGCATAGAATGTGCCACTGACCCCACAAACGGTGTTTTGAGGATCACACATGCGATCTATGGGATGAGTAGTATCAAGAGTAGATAATAACACAAGAGTTACACACCCGATTCCCGCATTTTTAACCGATTTTTCTCATCAAAATTTGCCACCAATAAAGAAGCAAGTGTATACGTTCCTCAGCTTATTATGACCACTAATCACTCACCTTCGTGGTACTGATATTCGTTTACATATATTTGCTAGCGTATTGCTGTAAATCGTAATCTTAGTACCACGAAGGTGAGTGATTAGTGGTCATAATAAGCTGAGGAACGTATACACTTGCTTCTTTATTGGTGGCAAATTTTGATGAGAAAAATCGGTTAAAAATGCGGGAATCGGGTGTGTAACTCTTGTGGTATTATCTACTCTTGTTATATATTATATATAT